GGGGTACCCCGTTTGCTGCCGGCCGTGCCACTGCATCACCCTGGAGACCCTCCTCCATCGCGGGGGTACTTGCGTTTCGGTTTGGACAATCACACCGGTGCCGAGGGCACTGAACTTTGCCGTTGGCTTCCTGAGCCTAGAAGCATCTGTAGCAGCAGTCCACACAGACGCTTAAATAGTTTATGTGGCTTATAATACTAATCTAATTTTATCTACTATCTTTATTGCACTGTATAATCAGTACGGTTGCGATTGCATTACACTAGGGAGACAGCGCTATTCTGAACATAAACATGAAAATTTGGGGATCAAAAGGTCTCACAGCAATAAAGCATTCATGTAGCGTGAAACGCTGTGATCCATGGAACGAGTAACACAAACAAGGGTGAAAAAAATCTGTTCCTAATGATGTCTACTGGTACCTTAAATCAAGTAATTTTTACTTTAACTGCACTTAATAAATAAATGTTAAATAACGCACTTAAGCCTATTTCTATTTTCTTTTTATTAGAGAAAGACAAGTATGAAAATAATTTTCATACAGGTGAAAATAATTAAGTTTAAAAAAAACAAGACAATTTTCTCTGAAGCTCATACCAGTGAAATTGCAACACTGAGACTACAGTTGTAAATGTAAGAAAAATGGTAACAAAACTTGCAAAATTGTATATAAATGCAGTGGGAAATTCAAAGTTGAACACATGAAAATACAAATTCTTTAAAAGAGAACAGCAAAACAGTCATCAGTGGAGAAATCATTTAGTAAAATGATAAGATTATTTTGCAGGAGTATTCCTTCCTCTTGGTCCATCAAGGCTAATCTTCTGGAAAAGAAGAACCGCATCCACAATACAGAGAACAAGCAATACAAGACCAAACACCTATAAAAATAACGATAAGGTTTGTTAGTTTCCCTGTAGAATCTCTATCTTTTACTGTGGCGACTCATCTACCATTCATCAAAGAAGCAGTAAACACATCCTCCTAAGTTCTGGCCTTCTAAATATCTGTGTGATGTGAGACAGCTGAAAAATAACATCCATATTTAAATCCCATCAGCTTTTCATACAGCTTTCTACACCCTGGCTTGCTTTGATGTTTGCCTGAAGCCTTGGAGATGATGTCTTCTTGAAAGCCAAGCTAATGCTGCTTATGCTGGACAATGCTTTTATCCTAAATGGAAACCCTTCTGTCTCTTTAAGGACTGCCTAATTAATGGTATTGGACCAGAAACAAGTCAACATTTGTAGAAACAAGCCTAGCAGGAAAAAAAATAGTGCTGCTCTCTGAAGCTCAGAATGGGCAACATATTCCAAATTGAAGAAGATGTACATACGTACGTAAAAAAATACACAACTTCAGGCAGGCAACTGGAAAAATGTGTTTGCGAGACGACTGCCGAGTCAACTCACTCGGCTCTTGCCCTTCAGCCTGATCCCTCATGCATGCAATTTTTTTGATGCAAGCATGTTTTAAAATGGAATTATCCCATCGGTGGTAGTAATACTAAGGCAAACTCTTTCAGTTCAAGGCAGTTTGTGCCCTGGGACTACAGGCCTAGGGGCAATTCTGTTTCTCCCGACATTGAAGATGATGTACATTCTGCCCAAACTTGTTTTCCAAGCTACCTGCTTAGTCTGCTGCTTCCAACTTAATTTTCATTTCTATTAACTTCACAACCAAGAATGTAAATTGTATTCTAACACAGCCAGTCACTTTATCAGAAAGTTTCCTTTCTGCTTAGGTTGTCACTGCCAGCGAAGGCAACAGGTTTGCACCTCCCTGGCTCTTAAGCAGAATTTGAAAAACTCCTGTGGCAAGTTCTGTGTTTCTTTTGGTTGCTTGCCACATTTTACCTCATCTTGTATTTCAGGAGACTGAAATACTTTCAAAACTGATTTCCCGCCCTTTATTGTTTATTAATGTTAGTTATATTAGTTTTAATTTGAATTAAAAATACCAGCTGCTTAAACTACTAAGCTGGTTTGATCTTAAATACACAAAAATCTTTATATTCGTAGTATGAAAAAACCTTTTCAACTGCCATAATTTCTCAGTTCGTGTCAGAAAAAATAATGTACACATTAGGAGGGATGTACCAGCATGTCTGTTAAAAAGTTCCATCTCTATTTAGCAGAATCGTAGGCATTCCTTCTTAAATACCATAACCAAACTGGATAGTCCTAAAAGAGTGATGGATTCTCCCACCTACGATTTCAAGCTATGGAAGCAAATGCAGGTTACTCAAATTAGTTAAACTCTAAGAGTTTTCAGTGTTAGTATTTCTCTGTAGTATTGCCTAAGTCTAGTAATATCTTTAAATTACTAGTGATTTGAGGATTTTATTTTTTTTAGTGAGATACATTGAATGTGTATTCACTTTTGTTTGACTTCTGTGTACGTTCTTCCATGACAGAGTTATTTTCATAGTCTTACCACAATCTAAGTATACCAAGAGGTTCAAATCATGTCTGTTTTAAGAACTGAAATTTGTTAATAATGTTCCTACTCACCCCTCCAGCCAGTGTCCCATTGTTGGTCTTGATTATTATCGCAAACAGGCACACAATAAGGAGGAATAATGCTGCAATCACTGAGTTGAAAACATCCTGAAACAGCCAGTGGAAACAAAATATTTATTCTGAAATACACACCTGAGGAAGAACGTGAATAGCTCCCAATATTGTATGAATCCTTACAAATTGCTCTTTACTATAAAAATAGAATTACACTAATATCCACGTAAGATCAACAGTGACACCAAGTGGTTTGATGTTAAAAAGAGTGTTTGTCATAAAACTTCCTCATTTTACTTTTGTTTTGCAGTCAAATTTATGCAAACTGGCTACACTTGATAGACTACAACGGCAAACAAATTTTAAAAAGGGAGGTAAGAGGAGAACTCATTAATATTTAAGTGAAAGCATATGTTTAATTTGTGATGTGAAAGGTGAAAAGTACAGTATTGTAAAGTTAAGCAAACGATGTTCATTACAGGAGGGTCCGTTAATGGATATAAGCCCGCTATTTAGAGATTGAGGCAAAAGAACTCTGTCATCTCTTGGGCAAAACCGGTTCAACAGTGAAACACTGGGGTTTGCTTGAACTGTACAGAAACAGTCACCGAGCCGACGGACAATAACCCCCCTGAGCCGGCAGTCACAAAATGGGTACAGTCACTTCGTTTTAAGGCCAATACTCACAGCCAACGGCCAGAACAGCCAGCCCATCTTTTTATCGAGCTTTAGCAAGTACAGCAGGAAGAACAGCGCCGTGATGACCATCTCCGCCACGGCCAGCGCGGTGTAGGCCCCGTGGGAGCGGGAGGCCACGAAGCAGAGGAAGGTTACAAACGCCACCAGCTGAGGGGGTACAAAGAGTAACGGGTTTAGCGCCGCGCC